TGATGATGATGATGACTGTGTACACACCTGATGGTGATGACTGTGTACACACCTGATGATGATGACTGTGTACACACCTGATGATGATGATGGCTGTGTACACACCTGATGATGATGATGACTGTGTACACACCTGATGATGATGATGACTGTGTACACACCTGATGATGATGATGGCTGTGTACACACCTGATGATGATGATGACTGTGTACACACCTGATGATGATGATGACTGTGTACACACCTGATGATGATGATGGCTGTGTACACACCTGATGATGATGATGACTGTGTACACACCTGATGATGATGATGGCTGTGTACACATCTGATGGTGACTGTGTACACACCTGATGATGATGATGACTGTGTACACACCTGATGGTGATGACTGTGTGTACACACCTGATGATGATGATGACTGTATACACACCTGATGATAATGACTGTGTACACACCTGATGATGATGACTGTGTACACACCTGATGATGATGATGGCTGTGTACACACCTGATGGTGATGACTGTGTTCACACCTGATGATGATGACTGTGTACACACCTGATGATGATGATGGCTGTGTACACACCTGATGATGATGATGACTGTGTACACACCTGATGATGATGATGACTGTATACACACCTGATGGTGATGACTGTATACACGCCTGATGGTGATGACTGTGTGTACATACCTGATGATGATGATGGCTGTGTACACACCTGATGATGATGATGACTGTGTACACACCTGATGATGATGATGACTGTATACACACCTGATGGTGATGACTGTATACACGCCTGATGGTGATGACTGTGTGTACATACCTGATGATGATGACTGTGTACATACCTGATGGTGATGATGACTGTATACACACCTGATGATGATGGGACTTTGTGTTCACACCTGATGATGATGACTGTGTTCACACCTGATGATGGTGATGACTGTGTTCACACCTGATGATGATGATGACTGTGTACACACCTGATGGTGATGACTGTGTTCACACCTGATGATGATGATGACTGTGTACACACCTGATGGTGATGACTGTGTTCACACCTGATGATGATGACTGTGTACACACCTGATGATGATGATGGCTGTGTACACACCTGATGATGATGATGACTGTGTACACACCTGATGATGATGATGACTGTGTACACACCTGATGATGATGATGACTGTGTACACACCTGATGATGATGATGACTGTGTACACACCTGATGATGATGATGACTGTGTACACACCTGATGATGATGATGACTGTGTACACACCTGATGATGATGATGACTGTGTACACACCTGATGATGATGATGGCTGTGTACAGACCTGATGATGATGATGACTGTGTACACACCTGATGATGATGATGACTGTGTACACACCTGATGATGATGATGACTGTATACACACCTGATGATGATGATGACTGTATACACACCTGATGATGATGATGACTGTATACACACCTGATGGTGATGACTGTGTGTACATACCTGATGATGATGACTGTGTACACACCTGATGATGATGATGACTGTGTTCACACCTGCTGATGGTGATGACTGTGTTCACACCTGATGATGATGACTGTGTTCACACCTGCTGATGATGACTGTGTTCACACCTGCTGATGATGACTGTGTTCACACCTGCCGATGGTAATGACTGTGTTCACACCTGCCGATGGTAATGACTGTGTTCACACCTGCTGATGGTGATGACTGTGTTCACACCTGCTGATGGTGACTGTGTTCACACCTGATGATGATGACTGTGTTCACACCTGCTGATGATGACTGTGTTCACACCTGATGATGATGTCTGTGTACACACCTGATGATGATGACTGTGTACACACCTGATGATGATGATGACTGTGTTCACACCTGCTGATGGTGATGACTGTGTACACACCTGCTGATGGTGACTGTGTTCACACCTGATGATGATGACTGTGTTCACACCTGATGATGATGACTGTGTTCACACCTGATGATGGTGATGACTGTGTTCACACCTGATGATGATGATGACTGTGTTCACACCTGATGATGATGATGACTGTGTACACACCTGATGATAATGACTGTGTGTACACACCTGATGATGATGATGACTGTGTTCACACCTGATGATAATGACTATGTGTACACACCTGATGATGATGACTGTGTTCACACACCCCTGTCCCCTACACCATGACAAGTCTCTTGAAGGTCTCCTGGGGTTTCTTTTCAGCAGTGGTTGATGAACCAAAGCTAGGGTTCAAAAGCCTGGTTTTTCTATTGCGTTCTAGTCAGTATCAGCACACATGACTTAAAAGAGAACTCAATCTGGAAAAGAAGCATTCTAGAGGTATAATGAGGAAGACTATGTGTCCTAGTTTGTTTCTGTTGCTGTGATAAACAGTGTGACCAAAGTAACCTAGAGAGGTGTCTTTGCTATGGTTACTATTGTTTTTGTGAAATACCATGACCAAAAGCATATTGAGGAGAGAAGGGGTTTATTTCACTCACAGTTCCATATAACAGTCCATCATCAAAATCAGTGTGTGCAGCAGCTCAGGCAGAGTATGAACCTGGAGGCAGAAGCTGATGCAGAGGCCATGGAGGGGTGCTACTTACTGACTCATTTCTCATGGATTGCCTAGCCTGCTTTCTTTTTCTTTTTGGTTTTTCGAGACAGGGTTTCTCTGTATTGCTTTGGAGCCTGTCCTGGAACTCACTCTGTAGACCAGGCTGGCCTGGAACTCACAGAGATCTGCCTGTCTCTGCCTCCAGAGTACTGGGATTAAAGGCATGTGCCATATTGCCCGGCACCCAGCCTGCTTTCTTATAGAATCCAGGACCATAATTCCTGGGATGGCACTACCCACAATAGGCTAGATTCTCTCTCATGAATCATTAATTAAGAAAATGCCCCACAGGCCTACCTACAGAGACATTTTCTCAACTGAGGCTCCCTCCTCCCGGATGACTCTACCTTATGTCAAGTTGACATAAACAAATCAATGCAGGATAAGATGGTTTGTTTCAGCTTACAACTCCCAGATAATAAACCACTATTGAGAGAAGTTGGGCAGTAACTCAAGGCAAGACCCAAAGCACACACCATGGAGGAATGGCACTTACTGGCTCCCTCCCAGGCTCATGTTCACTTAGCTTTCCTATACAGCCCAGGCTCACCTGTCCAGGGACATCACCACCAGTGTGGGCTGGGATCACTTACATCAATGAGCAATAAACAAAATGCCCTGCAGACATGCTCACAAATCAATCTGACCTGGGCAATCCACCAACAAAGATTCTTTAGATAACTCTGGAATGTGTCAAGATGACAGCTGATTCTTACTAACTAGGGCACTGTGAGTGTGCACTGTTAGATCAGAAAGTCAGTGCCAGTGATGCCACCTTTCTGAACGCTCCTTTCTGGGTAAGGATTGGATGGTTTGTCACTACCTGGCATCAGTGGTCTGAGGGTCTGTGGCTACATAATAATACATTTGAACTTTGTCTGTTCTATTAGAGAAAAAGATAAGGATGCCTTGATATATTTTGAATGTGATGGCCATTTATTTTTGTAGTTAAGTAGATGGTGCTTTGCGTGGTGATGGGCATTCGGTTATAATTCAGAGTTACCAAAAGGCCTCAAGGAGAAACCATCTGCCAAGCTAAAAAGCCTTCAGAATGCAACCGTGGTGAATGTGCTGATAGGGAAGCAAGGTGTCAGAGAAGCATTACCACAGGAGCCTTAGTCTGGAGTGGGTGCTATGGTGAATGAGAATGAGATGGATTTCCCATAGGAAAATCCATCCACTTGTTTTCCAGGTGGAGGAACCGTTTTGGAAGGCTACAGAATCTTTTAGAGGAGGAGCCCTGCTGGAGGATGTGCACCACTGGGGAAAGGCTTTCAGATTTTACAGCCTGGTGTTGTTGGAGTTGTCTTGTCCCACCAGGTCCTGCTGCCCTTGAGCCTCAAATAAACACACAGAGACCTATATTAATTATTAAACTGTTGGCTGATGGCTTGGGTTTCTTACTGGCTAGCTCTCTCTCAGTTATTGACCCATAACTACTAATATATGTATTTTCACATGGTCTTGGCTTACCGGAGAATGTCCTGTTTCTCCCTTGCCAGCTACATGGCATCCCCTTCTGCCTACCTTTCCTAGAATTCTCCTCATCTCCTAGGCCTTCCTATCTTCTGCCAGTATTGGCCAAACAGTGTTTTATTCATCAACCAATGAGAGAAACATATACAGAAGGACATCCCCCACCAGCTGGTCCCACTTTCTCTTGTGTGTTTCATGCTTCTGCAGCTATGCCTTCCTTGCCATGGGAAGTGCCTCTGGAGCTTTAAGGTAAAATAAAATCTTTCTTGCTGAAGTTGTTTTTGATCATGGCATTAAAAAATTTTTTTTTACTTATTCTATGTGTTATGGGTACTTTGCCCACATATACGTCTGTGTACACTATATGCCTGCCAATGCCAAAAAAGGGCATCAGATCTCTTGAACTGGAGTAACATGTTTGTTAGATATCATGCTTGTGTTGGGAATTGAACCTGGATCTTTTAAAGCACAACCAGTTTGTTTAACTGTTGAACCATCTCTCCAGGCCGCTAGCCATGATACTTTATTTCAGCAGTATAGTAGAGTTCAGATTCTCCCAGATCAGATGGCAGAAAGGAAGTGGGGCAGCATGGGATGAAGAGTCCCAGGAGAGAGAACATAGTCTGAATAGAATGTTCTACTTTCTTTCTCTCTCTCTTTCTCTCTCTCTTTCTTTCTTCCCAGGAGAGAGAAAATAGTCTTAATAGAATGTTCTACTTTCTTTCTTTCAATTTTTATTCATTCTTTGTGGTTTTCAATCATGCATTCCCATCCCACTTGTCTCCCCACCCCTCACATCTGCCCTCTGCCCCTGCACACATCCTCCCCAAAAACAAATTTAAATAAAAAACCAAACCAACTAAACAAACAAAAAAAAAACAAGACAGAAGAAAAAGAGAAGAATCCTGTTATGGAAGCTGTAATGTGGCTGGTTGAATCACACAGTTTACCCTTTAGTCCATTCATCTTTACTTTCAAGTGTTCATTGCCATGCGTTGTTGGTCAGGTTTGAGGCCCCTGGCTTCTGCTAGACCACTGGTAATGGGCTCTCACTGGGGCTCTTCTTGGATACCCTGTTGTTCTGTTGTGGAGATGCTGCTCTTTTGGGTACAGGTTAGTCTCCTTCATCTGCTCTAACAGTTCATAGATGAGGTAGACCTACTCATAGCTTACTAGTTGCTCACTGGCTCATACTTAGCTAGTTTTCTTTTAGAACCCAGAAGCCCCTATCTAGAGATGGTGCCACTCACAGTGGGCTGGGCCCCCACACGTCAATCAATCATCAATCAATCTGATCTCAGTAAGTCTTCAGTTGAGGCTTCCTCATCCCAGATGACTTTAGGTTGTGGTGAGTTGATAGTGACAACCAACTTAGACACTGAATAAGATCAATTCATGGGATATTGTTATAATTGTACTCTTCTTTCCTTTCTAAACATGGACTTTGATTTGAGAATTCCAGTGGACATTCTAAATGCGGCTGAGCTTGTTTGCATAAGACAGAGTGGATGGATTGGTGTGAGTGGTAACTTCTGCAATTAATTGTCAGAGTTTGTTTTGAAGTTATGGAGATGAATGCAATATTAGTCAACTCAGCCTCGTATAAATGCATACCACAGACTGGGTGGCTTAAACCACAGAGATGAATTTCTCACAGTTTTGGGAATTGGAACTCCATGGTCAGGCAATGATGCAGATAACTTCACATGTAGTAATGGTCCACATCCTGGGCCACAAATAGGGTGTGTGTGTTTGTGTTTGTGTGTGTGTGAGAGAGAGAGAGTGAGTGTACTATGGGGGTCCGTGTCTGTGTGTGCTGTATAGCAGTTTCCTCCAAAGTGGACCACTATCAAAGAGAGAAAGTCATAAAACCAAGGATGTTCTAAAAGGAGGTGAAATATTCCAACTTGCAGGATATCTCCTTAAAATTCAGTTAGTGAACAACTCAAGAGCTATAAGAAATCCTGGAAACTGGCCAGACAGGTCAAGATGCTCCATTCCCAAGCTTATGTAAGCAACAAAGTCTGTTGAGAGGTCCTCTTAGATCAACTGAGCTGTCTGGAAGAGACACTCTCCAAACTGTTGAGCTGCCTGCCTGCTGTGTGGTTTGCTCCAGGTTCTCACCTCTCATGAGTTCTCACCCTTGCTGTGGTGCATTTGGTGATATGGTTGTCTTTGTGTCATTTCTGCTCCTGTAAATAAAAACCCCATCATTTGCTTTTAAGTAACCAAGTGAACTTCCTGGTTCACACAATTGGACTTCCATTGTATCCTTACTCAGGGTTTGTCACTAGTTCCCTGCCACCACCCCAAGCTTGGGGGAGGTCAATAGATGTCTCCTCGTGTCTCCCTGGAAATAGTGTCACATAACACTGTGGGAGAGGGAGGTGTCTCTGTTATGAAATCACTAATCCCACTTTAAGGCTCTGCCCCCATGGATCACCCATCATTTGTCCAAATTACCCTAAGTACAAAGACTCCATGAATTGTGTGGGACACAAACATTTCAGCCATGGCATACCTGTGTCACAGAAGAGCCAGCAGACCTCTCAGTCTGCCACACAGTGACATAGAAGAGTAGATTCTGACTTACCCGAGGAGAAAGAACACATCAACATCCGTGAGTTCCTCAGCTTCTTTCTGAGAAGCCACAGTTCACTCAATGCCGACTTCCGGTCTCTGCTTGTCACAGTCACCTGCTGAGCCTCTCTGGAGGGCTGCCAAATGAACAGGAAAGGTCTGTGTTCTGAAGAGCTTACCCTCTAATTGAGAAAAATGAAGTGATGCTCTGATGCCCTCTGGTGAGTGTGAGAGTAGCCGCTGCCCACTGGAGAAATGCTACCTGGATTGTAGCCTTGTTACCCTTTGCTCTACAGCTAATACCACTTATGAGTGAGTACACACCATGTTTGTCTTTCTCGGTCTGGGTTACCTCACTCCATTGTGTAAATGTACCACATTTTTCTTTCAAAGAGGACCCCAAGAGGGATTTCCCTGGGAAGGAGAAATAGATGAGATCTTCTGGGTGAACTGGGGTTGAGGGTAGAGGGTTGGGGAGGAGGGGATGGGGACATAAGGGATCTGGTTGGTCAAGTTAGGGGTGGGAGGGAGAGGGACAATAATGAAAGAGATATCTTGACAGAGAGGGTCATTTGGGGGTTAGGGAGAAACCTGGTGCCAGGAATCCACAAGATGAGTCCAGCTAAGACTCCTAGCAATAGTGGAGAGGGTGCCTGAACTGACCTTCTCCTGTAATCAGACTGGGGACTACCCTAAGTGTCAACAGAGAGCCTTCATCCAGTACCTGGTGGAAGCAGATGCAGAGATCTACAGACAAGCACTAGGCTGAGCTCTAGAAGTCTAGTTGATGAGAGGGATTTTATGAGATGAGGTGGGAGGAGGTCAAGATCATGATAGGGAAACCCACAGAGACAGCTGACCTGAGCTCATGGGATCTCATGGATTCTGAACTGACAGCTAGGGAGCCTGCATGGGACTAACCTATGCCCTCTAAATGTGGATGGCAGTTGTGTGGCTTTGTTTGTTTATGGGGCCCTTACCAGTGGTATCAAGACCTGTCTCTGGTGCATGAACTAGCTTTTGGGAACCTATTCCTAGCCTTGTTGCAGGAGGAGGAGCTTGGTCCTGCCTCAAGATGATATGACATGTTTTGTTGACTCCCATGGGAGCCTATCCTTTATTGAATGGAGGCGGAGATGGGAAGAGGGGACAGGAAGAGAAGAGGGTTGGTATATAAAATAAATGAAAGAAATTAGTAAAAAGAGAAAGAAGCAGTACCTGGGATAATCAGGGAGGCCTTTAGGATGGGCAGTGGCCCCAGCAACGGGACAGCTCAGTGTTGGTCCTGTACCACAGCTCATATCTCATCCTTGGTGACACAAGCCCAAGAGCACGTCCAGGCAAGTCTGGGTTGGGTCCCAGGACATTCCTCAAAGATTTAAGGTGAGGAAGTGAGGTGTAGGATGTCATCCAGAGGGTTGTGTGAAGACGTCCACCGGGAAGGCATGCAAAGACGCTGTACGATGGTGTCTTCCCAGCATGGGCGTTAAGATAGATACAGACTCTGTAAGGGCTGGGAGGAGCTGACCTGAACAGCTCCCCAAGAGGCAGAGTGCGTGAGCCCCACTTAGGGTGAGAAGCCAGCATGGAGAGAGAGAGTGGGGTGCTGATCCAAGCTCTGAGATGCTGGGTGAAGCCCTGGGGAGTCAGTGAATATCGTGCTTCTGCTTCCCCAGGTAGGCCATGGGGACACCAATAAGCAGGAGGGATTTACTCTTCAGTCAGAAATTATTATTATTATTATTATTAGTATTATTATTATTTTCTAAATGAATGAACGATTTATGGTTTGATTTATTTGACACATTTAGCTGCCTCTTGGTAGTAATGGGGAATTGATTTTGCAGCAAAATCTGAAGGTTGCAGTGCCTTATCTAAAGAGGCGATGATGCCTGCAACCTGTGCAAGCCTCTTGGCTGCTCTGCACTTGACTTACAGCACCGACTAGAATGAGACCCTGTGTCTGAAATGGTCCCTCTCCCTGGTTATCCAGTAGTGGCTAAAACTGGCGCAGATGTGGCTAGAATGGGCGCTGTTGTTCTTCCTTTAGTACTTTTGGTGGAGAGTGTAAGTCTGTGCTGTGAAGCTAATGGGTACAGTAAGCCAGCTTTCCTTACTCTTCGTACCGGGCACTGTGCCCAGCAAATCACAACCGCGCAGGCATAGACTCCTCCTCAACTCCTGCCGGGTAGGTAATGTTGTCCCCACGCTGTGTTGAAAAGCTGCTGACTTTAACTCTGTGCAGAGTTAGTTCTGCCTACCTGTCCTCCCCATGAGTCAGCATGATACTGGGGATCAGAAGCCTCCCTGTAGTCTTTGTTTCTGTCTGTGTTATCAGGTACCTGCTTCCCTTGGCCTCTGTGGTCATGTGGTCAACAGGCAAGGAATGTTCTGATAGAGTTCCATCAGCTCCATGTGGTTAGGAGACAATTAGTTTCTTCCTGTTGAAAAAGCAAGTAATTCTAGTTAGTAGATGTACAAGTTAATTTTATTGTCACATTGACTGCTCTCCAGGCTGTCAAGTATCATTCTAGGTGTGGCTCTGACGATGTCTCTGAGTCAATCAGAGCTAAGGCAATGGGCTGAGTGAGGTGACCCTCCCCAAGGGGAGGTCTGGACCACCCTGCTGAAGGCCAGAATGGAAAAGACTAAGAGGAAACTTCTTCTGCTTGGTGGTGGGATGGAAAAAGCATCCTTCATCTCTCCTTGGATTTGAGCTGTAGCTATAGGTTGTCCTTACTTACTGGAAACATGTCAGCCTCATGCTCATGTGAACCCCTTTGTATTGGTTGTCTCATGCAGAATCCTGACTTGACTGACACAGCAAATACAGAATATTGGTGACACCCAGACACAGCATTGTGACCGTTTTCTGGACTTTGTAGGAGTTTGAAATAACATAGGCGATGTTAAGAGCACTAAATGCATGCCACCTCCTGTTACTGGGCATTGGGATTTCCTCTAATCCCAGCCTGGCTAAAAGAAACAAAAACGTCATGGAGAGTCTAAAAGCAGTTTCATAATTACTGAGATCAGCATTCGTTCAGAATTCTGCCTCTGTAATTTTCGTATTAGAAGCAGAGGGGTTACTTGTGGTCTGTCTCTCAGAGATTTGCAATTTCTTGACTTCCCATAAAGTTTCTCAGCTGGACATGGGTCAGTCCAGTGATGGGTAGCACCACACTGGGATTTTCTTACTGACTCTGGGGATAGTACAGAAAGAAACCATAGGAGGAAGGAAGCTGGGATACACAGTATGTGCCCAGTCATTCCATCTCAGGGACAGTGATCTGCAGGTGGCCACGGGCAGTTGGCTTAAAAGCTTGCTGTCCGCTGAGGACCTTAGCTCCTCATGATTAGCATGAGGTCTAAAGACTTGGCCAGAGATGGCCAGGGTTTGAGGAGCCCCATATAACAGAGGTGGAGGAGGGACACTTAATTATAAACAGGGTCAATTAGGTCCAATTACTTTAATTCTGTACGTGCCCTGTTCTGAGCGAGCACTCATACCTCACCATATGGCTGTCCTTTAGACTGAATCCTTTTAGTTTACAATATGCCTCTGGGCTGTCTTTAGTGGTAGAATACAGCACACCTAACCTGGTTATCTTTCAAACTCTTTCTCTTTCCCTCATAGCCCACGACACAACTACCCATCTAATACATAATACACACATAAGCCCCAGCTGTACCCTGTGACCTTGACAATGACCTGAAGATTATAAAGGAAGTCCTCTCCCGTAACTTGGTCTCTTCTGTTCTGCGGAAACATACACTGTGCCCTCTATTCCTACTTCTTCCCTCCTCATTCTTCTTTTCTCCCCTTCTCCCCAAATTTTGATTTAGGAACTTCAGACTTCATTGTCTGTGGATTCTTTTCCAGAGTCCTCTTTTCCATTTGTGCAGTAGAAATTGTACAGAGACACAGTCGCTTTTGTCCTCCTGGCTGTTATCCTCTCTGGAGGTTTTAAAGTTATATTCTGTTGGATTATAATTTCCAATGGGTTTTGAGACAGCCTTATGCATCCCAGGCCAGTTTTGAAATCTCTGTATATCTGAGAATGGCCTTGAACTCTTCCTGCTCCTGCCTCCTCTTTCTCAGCGCTGGGGTTACAGGAACACACTACTGTAACAAGTTTATAGGATGCTTCAACTATCCTGGGCAAGAACTCTACCAAATGGGCTGTACTCCCGGCTCCAAATTTTGAGTAATTCTTTTACAGATTGTCTGTTTTAGCAGGTTTCCTTGGTCCTCATCTGGACAGAGCTTCCGCATTCTCCCACAGCACCCTGTTTCACAGGAACAGTGGTTGCAAAAACAATAGTAGGCTCACACCATTTAATTAGTGGTGCTATGAGTTTTTTTAACTAGTTTTATTTCCAGCCTTGCGTAGACATACCAGCCTTCCTGTACACCCAGACCCTTCTGGAAGTGGGCCTGCATCTTTGACAGCAGGTTTTCTCTTTATTTCCAAGCATCCATTGCAAGTTGGATGGAATGTAATTGCTGGTTGGGGACTTTGCTGAACTAGGGGTCTTTGATGGGTGAGAGGGCAGAATTGGGCAGTGGGAGGGATTAATATGCCCTATACCATAGCCTCAGATAGACACTAAGGCAGTGGAGGAGGAGCCTTTGCACAATTCCTCACTCTCATCAAGGGTTAGCCACTTCAGGAGAGCTAAACCCCAGGTGAGGGAAGGTTTTCCTGCAGTTCAGGTACAGAAGCCCCTGAGGATGGGTCCTTGCAGGCACCAAGAAGACACATCCAGAGGGTCCTGAAGCTCCTGTCCTCAGGGTTAGTCATCAGGACTGGGCAACTCTTTCACACAAAGGCTCCTGACTCTCCAGTCTGGAACAGTTTTCTCTAATGGAACTTTTGTGTCTAATTTCCGTGTGTGTGTGTGTGTGTGTGTGTGTGTGTGTGTGTGTGTGTGTGTGTGTGTTCCTTTTTGTTTTTTGCTGTTGTAATAATCTCTACTTGTTTTTATCCTTTTGTTATAATTTTAGGAAAATTTCTCCCTTGATATTTCCACTTTCATTTTTGTGAAATGAGTTTGGGCCCATCTGTTGATTTTTTTAAAAAATATTTCTTAATTTGTAGAACTAATTGGTGTGTGTGTGTGTGTGAGAGAGAGAGAGACAGAGGGAGAGAGAGAGAGAGAGAGAGAGAGAGAGAGAGAGAGAGAGAGAGAGAGAGAGAGAGAGAGAGAGAGAGAAGCCTGTGCTCTCAAATCCTTCTGAAGATACTAATCTTAATTCAAATTTCAGGTGAATTATTTCTGTGGAGATGTGCATCATAGGTGCTGGTTTCTGTTAGACGTGTGGTGGCTTGAATGTGACTCTTCTGTGTGGAGGATCTCAGGGTGCATTCCTGGGGATAGAAGCTTCTAGCACAGTGAGACTGCACCCTTTGAGGACCTGGCAGCTGCTGTGGCCTCATTACTTCCTGAAGCTGGATGTTCAGCGGCTCCTTGACGTCGACAGGCTCTGTGGTGACCATCCTGTTGCTCAGGGAGGAGCACGGAGTGAACTTGGCAACCTTGTCATTTTCCATGTGTGTGTCAACTGCATTTTCTGGAAGATGCTAGATCCTACCTGTTTCCCATCTTCCAGATACCCCCTTTCTTGTCTGCTCCGTGATGATTCTGTTCCTTGTTTCTTGGTTCTGACATAAATTTGTTCTTTCCAGTGTTTTTGCTGACCTGTTTTAACACCACCTTCAACACCCAAGAAAGGTTGAAGCCCAGACCCCTTGCTCACATATACCCAGCTTCCCTTTCCTTCATAGCTGAGCTCCACAGACTGGAGTCTTCTTTCTGCACTCTGATTACCCTCACAGGGCTCCAGCTTTGTGGAGGAGCTGCCCATGGAAGGAGTTTGGTCTCTGGAGACTGGGCGGGCTCTTCAGGGCCAGGCCTAATATCATGGTCATGGTCATTAGTGCTGCCAGTCAGATTCATCTCAAGAAGCAACTGTTTTTTATGTGAGTGAATAAGGGGGAGAACAGGAGTCAGAGAGCGACCATATTGAACCTTGAAACTAGACACACTTGATGTGCACATTCCATCCACGGAGCCGTGTTAGGAAATTTTAGCACTTGCTTTCTTTCCACAGCTAAGGTCCATGCTTGAGTGGTCCCTATTGTGCCCACACCTCCATGTCCAGCCTGGCTGCCTCTTAGAACCATGGCCCTTCCCCCTTCCCACCCAGTCTGAGCTCTTACTGTGTGTCTAGAATTTAGCACTTCTCTAGATAGATAGATACCAAATGAAATCACTGTTTGCTGTGTCCTGCAGAATGTTGAGGTTTCTGGGTAAACACCTGAGCAGGCACGATTCTGCCAGCCTGAGACAATGCATTTAAATGTCCCTAGCAATGTGTCTGGCATAAAACTGCCTGCAGGGACAGTTTCTAGCTGGAGTGGTTTCTATTTCTGTGTTGAAACAAAGAGAGAAAGAATCCAGAACCATGTTTTCATGTTCTCTACTTTGCATAAAGAGACTTTTCATGAGTACCTGTCAGGGAGGGCGAGAGGCAAGGATCGGCATGCCTTAGGGTTAGGGCTCTTACACGCTGGTCGTGTATACAGGATACAGTGGCTTGGATAGCTGACTGGGGGCTGTAGTGTGGAGGCAAACCTCGGGCCCTGGTGTTTTCAGGTAACCAACCAAAGATCAGCTCACTGTCAATGATAAGAAGAAACATCAGCTTAGCCTATCGGGAAACACCACTGCCCTTTAAGAACTTTCCACTTTAGCTCATCAAATATTTTCTCTGTCTGGCTTCCTGGAACACCTTATAAAAGTTCCCCAGTGTGTCCCCTCAGTGGAACACTGAGCAGTTTGCGGTCTGGCACTGTCTGACTGTGAATCACCGAATGCAGAATCAACTCATTAAAAGTTTGATGAGTCTACGTTTATGCTTTAACTCTCTAAGAGGGCCTTACCTTGTTCCCCAAGACCTGTGCCTTTCCCCACTTCCCGTGAGGACCTTTCTCTCACTTCAGCTCCTCCTGCTTCTCGTCACTATTGTGCCTTCTCTTCGTGGTTAGCATGCACAGCCAGCCCAGATTCTGGGATGTCCTACTCGCTGTTGAGATCTTTGGACCCTTCCCCATGTCTGTGTTCCCCTGGCTCCTCTAACCTACTGTGCTGAGGCCTCCCAGCCACACTCCTGCATTGCTTCCTACTATAGCAAGGTTTTGCTTGCCGTTCTTTTCCTGATGTGCAGGGCCTGATGGGCTGGGGCTTGGCTATGCTTTCTGAACATCCATAGAGTTATCTGAAGGTTAATGATGTTCAACATGGCTTATCCCTCTTTTTAGAGACACCGAGCCTATTCTTGCATTTATAATTTAGACCCTTTTCCAAAAGACTACCCCTAAGTTCCTAGTGTTACCTTGACTCCACAGTTTTGTCTGATTTACACAGGGCCATGCTTGC